GTAGGGGTCAAAGAGCCTGGCATTCCCGATGAAATCCACCTGCTCCTGGGGAGTGGACGACTCCCTCATAGCCTGACAGTCCTCCACGGTGTGATGAGAGCTCTCACACCACTGGCAGTGCATCGCCTGCGGCTGTCCGGTACCTGCAATCAAACCAGAACGATCGATAGCTGAAACCAGCTTCGATACCACCTGCACCAGATCAGATGACTGGGTGCCCACAGCATGCACACCCCTTCCAGGTGCTCGTCTCGATCTCCTGGCAGTGCCCCAGTCATAACCGTTCTCCGCCATCTCCTCAAAGAGTTGATTCAGCTGTAGCGGGGTTTTGGTCAGCATGTTCCCGCCACAAACCGAATCGATCAGCTTCTTGTCCTCCGGGAAGAGGGCGTGATAGAAAGTGCCCACCTTAAACGCATCATTGAAACCATGGTTGGGACACCTGAGAAAGAGGCTGGTGTACCTCTCCCAAGCATCCCTAATGGTCTCATCCTCATCCTGAGAAAAGTGTGTAATCTGCTTCTGGAGATCAGTTGTCTTGGATGGAGGATGGTAGCGGGTGAGGAACTTGTCCGCCAGGTTGGCGAACGTGGTGATGGAGCCCGGAGGTCGAGTGTCTAGCCACTCCTTGGCCTGCCCCTCCAGAGTGAATGGGAAGTACCTCAGCTGGATGGCATCTGCTGGTACCCCATTGATCTTGATTCCATCGATGAGCTCGTGGAATCGCCTGAGATGTGATCGAGGGCACTCTCCCTCCTTACCACGGAACACTACTGAACCGCGCAGCATGGTGATCACGGAGGTGCTCACCTCAAAGTTGTTGGCTGGGACCTGAGGGTGTTGAATAGGTGACCTCATGTCCGCAGCCCTAGCGGTCCAGTAGGATCCCATGGTCTGCTCCCCGGGGATCAGATCACGGTTCTCTGGATCAGCCATCTCGCCTTCTTCTTCTTCTAACGGCAGCTGTGGTAGCTCCTCCTCCGCAGCCAGTCGTGCCTTTAGAGCCCGCTTGAAATTCCTGCAAGATCGTTCAAGCTCCTGGTCTAACGGTAGTAGATCTCCCGACTGGTTACGGGTCATGCACTACCTGCACACACTCAGAAGAAACAACCCGTGAAGGCACACAGGTGGGAGAAAGGAAATGCAGAAAATAAAAAGCTAGAGTAACAAATTATCACGTTTCTCCAATAACCTAGAGGGTCCCCGGCAACGGCGCCAAAAACTTGACACGCTAAAACACAACACCAAACTGCGACCAAGTGTAATCGCAGTCCGGGAATGCAGTAACAGGCAAGTTATATTATCAACCCGGGGTCTAGATCTACTGCTTACTCCGTGATTCTCTATTATCTAGCAAACTAAGTCGAGTGATTGTTGTGAAAAGTAAAAGCAACAAGAAAGCAGTAAATTGTTCGGTTTTCTAAAGCAGGTAAGAGTCACTCGGGATTGAGTCCCCCTAGCCCCTTGGTTAGGTTCAATTGCAATTCCCTGGGTTGATTTACTGTTGATTAGACTGCGGAAGATCCGACAGTAGCTTGGAATCTCTTAAGCTGACCAAGCCCTCTCAGTCTAACTACCCGGCAGACGACTAGTCTTCACCGGGATAGAAAGCTGAGGCTATAAACACAGAACTCCACTACTGGCGTCAAGAACACCAGTACAAAGCAGTAAACTGGCTAACTCTCGTATAGCCAATCTCCTACTATCGAATGAAGAAGCTCTAACAACCTAATCAGATTCTATCTATCTCAGGTTGAAGCAGAAATTGAGACAAGCTGATCAGACTCAAATCAATTCATGAAACATGCATCATTCGATTAAAATAAAACAATAATATCATCCCAAGTCATTACAATCAAATCCCTAACACAAGGAACTAGGGTTCTTCATACCCAAGTGAGAGAAGGGTTCTACTCCATAGAGAGAGAAGAGAAAACAAGAATCGGATTAGTCATACTCATAACGATGAGGATAATCTGCTCCGGGACGATGATGTTCACTCCTATGACGATCTCCAGGCTCGATTCGATGAAATCCAGCTCCAAGATAGCTTCTAGGATGAGTTCTTCGCACTTTCTCTCTCTAGGGCTCTGTTTTTGCTTTCAAAACGCGATTCTCCCACTTTTGGCTCGGATTAGGCACTAAAACCGGTCTCCCCGAGTTGCACGGGCAGGTGCACGGCCGTGCACCACACCATTCTGACCGTGCACCCTCAAAACGTACCGTTTCATTTATTTGGAGCTCAGCCTTCTTGCACGGCCAGGCGCACGGCCGTGCAAGCCTGGATTGTGCCCGTGCATGGCCTCAGCCAGAGGCGCACGGCCAAATGGCTCATGTGCACGGCCGTGCAGCCTCCTGGTCTGCCCGTGCACTCCTCCAAAAGCTCGCCCTTCGTCCGTTCTTCGTCCAATCGACCCCAGACTCGCTCCTAAGCCTTCATTCACGTACTAGGACCTGAAATAACACAAACAAGCACAACCTAGCGTGAAATCGGCCTAAAACACGAGAATCAACACCTCAAACGGTGTAAGTATGAGGGTAAAAACATGTGTAAATGACGGTCTATTTCTCGCACCTCAACACCTCAAACGGACTAAGAATCAACACCTCAACACCTCAAACGGACTATTTCTCGCTCATTTTAAGTCGAAATTTAATTTTTTTTGCACAGTTAGATCAGATTAATTGTGCTCTTCAAAATGATATCCACTTTAATATACTTTTCGAACAAAAAAAATTGAGCCATTTTTTACCAGCCTATACTATATGGTATTGACTGGTATTGAAATAAAAGCATACCTATGTTTTGAAAAACGTACCATGGTGGTATGAACAAATCAATACTGTAGGATGGTTGAATACATGATAGTAGAAGTATATTAATTGTAATTTACGACTTTTAACATTGTATACCACACAATACCACCCCGTACCATGGTGGTATTGTATGGTATTGTGTGGTATTTTTTGGTCCTGTAATTTGTTCACCCAGAAATTTGTAGATCCATTAGATCATGATGAACTCGTCCCTTCTGTGCAAACGTTTTCAAAAACGAATTAAAAACGAAGAAGATACCATACAATACCACCCCGTACCAGGGTGGTATTGTATGGTATTGTGTGGTATTTTTTGGTCCTGTAATTTGTTCACCCAGAAATTTGTAGATCCAGTAGATCATGATGAACTCATCCCTGCTGTGCAAACGTTTTCAAAAACGAATTAAAAACGAAGAAGATACCATATGGTATGCAGTTGGTACCGAGAGGCCAGAATTTTTTTTCCTAAAAAAATATTGAAAATTGATCTCATTTTATAGAGCACGGTGAACACGTTCCATCTGTGCAAAAAAAATTAAAATACGAGTTAAAACAAAAAAGATATGAGTCAATTAAGAAAGCTAGTGAAAATAAAAATAGCCTTTAATTCTCCATCCTTAGATCTGGAATTTCTAAATGAATGGTCCAGATTTGGTTATTGATGGGTGCATAACCCATGGTTATGCACCCTATCTTGAGCCTCCAACAGAGGTGGCATGCATGTTGGGAGGCATCAAAGTGACACAATAGCCTTTGTTTCCCTAACCTACACCACCACTCGCTGCGTCCTCGAAGAAGCAACGACGAGCTAAGCTCCCAATAGTGTTTCATTCAAGGGAGGACATTATCCTTCTCAAACTCTGCGAGTACGACTTTCCCAACCTATAGGCTATAGCGAGGGATTTGGAGGAAAGCTGGTCCATCCCAACTTCCCAAGGCAAGCACGAGGGGTGGGTGGGCAAGGGAAATAAGATGATAAAGTTTAAGTTTATGTTTAAAAATGATCAAGAGTGAGTTGAAGTCTTGCTTATCTTGTTGGGACTTTCCAAATTACAATATGGGTGGCTTCAAAACTGAATATCAAGCTGAAACTACAGGAAGCCAAGAAATCACACTAAAATCAATATATTCAGTGGTTTCATCAGGGTGACTACCCTTATTGATATTCCTCTCAGCGCCTACCAATTTTTCAAGATTGGGTTGAGCTTTAATTTCTACACACTTAAGGCTTTAGTTCGAGTCTCGTTCGACCTTCGTCTATCTTATTGTCGTCAAGTTAATTTTCACCAACTCGCCTACAACAATAATTTGGTTATTTGTTTTGGACTTCCCTATCAGCACACTACTTGCATTTTTATCACGAAGCTCATCCTGGTAAGACCTTTAAAACAAGACTCTGGCCGCAAACATCTAGGGGACTGCCTAACGCCGTAGTTAGATAGTACTATATATTGTATAACAATTAACTAGGGAGGGATTTGACTTACCAAACATGAAAAGGATTAGGCAAACACAATGCCTAAAATGAAGGGGGAAATGTGCATAAAGCCCAAACATATCAAAGGCATTCTAGCAAATTTTCAATTCGACTTGAGTTTATTCTCAAATAAAAAATGTTCGTGATACAATCCTCATAGTATTGAGATATAATTTAAGTTGCCAAATGTATCCACATGTGATACCAACCAATCACTTAATGTAACTAGACGTACATTAAATCGTCAAATATATCCAAATGTAGCCAAACTTTTCCATGTCCCAAAATGCTCATAAAAGTCATCATCGATTCATATTAAACGTTGGAACTTACCATGGTAACGAATTTGTACATATATGATGTCCACAACATATCTACGTCTAATTTCATAATTTTTTCTCTCTCAGACTTTGTTGATCTTCATATTCATTAATTGTCGTAAACCCTAACCCACCATCACAATCCAAATTATACGGGCAGCTGTGCGGCGGAATTTGAGACGCAATGTCTGTATGGATAATGACTATGTGCTCATCTTCTTTTCCTTTTAATCGAAATACTCCATCGTAATCAAAACAAGCATAATATACACTTTTTCAGGAGAGGTTAACGTCATTTCCCTTGAACTTCAATGAAAGGTCATTTAGGCCATAACACAAGGCTGCTTACTGTAAAAGCGCAGGCATTGCCAATCAAGTAAAAAGGATATCAGAATAAAATGATCAGGTTCTGATCTCGCCACTCCAATCCAAATCTAACAAGCAAAGAATCAAACTAGGATCCGATTCCACAACCACAACTCAAGCTGGATGCAGAAAGTATCGAAATCCCAGTACAAGAATCATCTTATGCAGAGCTGAGATCATCAGATGAGCCAAGAACAGGAGAGCTGCATAGTTGCTAATATCAAAGAGTACATGATATCCGCATAAACTAACTTATTCTATAGAACAATGTCATCTGCCTACATTTTTGGTCGATTGTCAGCAAAAAGAGCTTGCTGATTCTCAAATGTCAAACCAAACCAAAAGCGGACAGAGCAGTTGTATTTACAAGTTAAGCGGCCCAGATTCAATGGGGGAGGATAAAAATTTGTTGGACGTTTCAACTTTCAACAATGAATACATCCTTTTGAGTTGCATTCAAGAACTAAGCAGCAGGAGGTCTTAACTCGTGATCCCGAGATGTGTCGTAGGCAGCTGGAGGCAAATACTGCCACATTGGAACCAGACTGTAGCTGGGATACATAGGAGGCATCTTTGTTGCCCCAGCATGATAGGCAGCTGCTGGGTGTGCTGGCATAAACCCTGAAGGGGGAGCAGGAACAGCCATAGCTTTCACCTGTTGCTCCATCTTTTCCTTGTCTGCCTTCAAGGTCAGTTTCTCTTCGCGGAGTTCATTCTTTTCAGCCTGTTATAGAGGTCAGCAGTCAAAATACAATTTGCATCTAAAGAGATACATAAGAAAATGATTCAATGGTATCGGAAGTAATTCGAAATAACCAAACAATAAGATCACAGCAGTAAGCAACCAACAGAGAATCAACATTGTGTAATGCTTTAGGAAATGAAAACTCAAACCTTCAGACTCTTAATTTCTTCTTGTAATTTCTCATTTGTTTCTTTCAGCTCCTGTGCCTCAGATTTCAACTGTTGGAGAATTCTAATGGCATCGTCAAGTATGGCAGGTTTGTCAGCTTTAACAGGTCTCCCAGGCTCCAACACAGCGCTTAGATCCTGAAACCTGCAAATGAACTTTCCAGTCAAATCAATACGCATTAACATACTCAGTAGAAATTCATCTCGTTATAAACACATCTCAGCTGGCTCACCAACCCAACAGGTTACACTAAATGATACGGATGAAAGCAGAAGATGAGGCAACAAGATAAAGCAGATAGTCTTGAAACAACCAAGTTACCTGTCATTCAATCTTTCTCTTCGAAGCTTCTCACGACATGCTTTCGCACCAGGCCTACTACATGAATCACCACGTGCCCTGCATAAACAGAGAATAGACAGTGAAAACTTTTTACCAGTAAATTAAACACCTAGATTACTTCATCCAGCAACAACCACTGTACATAAAAACTAAGAGAATGCAGGAAAACTATGGAACTAAACCAAACGCCTAAGGGAGAAGCCCCGTTTTTCCATTTTGCCCCATACCCTAACAAGCTATAAACAGTTTCACACAATCAGAAGCACTGACTTTAAAAAGTACGGGACTTTATCAAATTTTCACAAGTCAAACCAAAATACCTCTTGCGATTCGATTCCTTCTCTTGCGAGACAGCAACGCTGGATGAGAAATCAATATCCAAGCTTCCACTGCAAAACAGAACGAAGATATCAGCAACCAGGCGGATTTTCAGTCAAATTCACAATCTAAGGTAAATCTCAGATCTCGCTCAGGAAACCCATCACGGAAATTTTCAGTATTTCATATTCCGATCCTTGCAACTCGTCGGATTCCACGAAAGCATCAAACGATTCGATAATCAGAAATCCCAATACTCTATTTCAACGGAAGGATTTAGAAATACCAAACAACAACAACAGAAAGTTGAAAGGAGGACGGTTAAGATATCTGAAATCTGTAGAACCAGAGAAGGAGCAGGTACCTGTTACTACTAGGCCAAAGAAAAGAAGAAGACGCAGTTTCGTCGATGAAATTGTCGAGAAAATCCCAGCTAGGGCTGTCGTCTATTGGATCCATGGAGAAGATCTTCCCCGCAAAAATGGGTTTTCTGCGGCTTCGGTTCTTGATTGGCGGGTTGAGTGATTGAGGAGTTTGAAGCTTGGGGTCAAAAAGGGATTTCGTGCAACCTGAGAAGTGATGATTTTGAAGGGAAACGGAGCCAGATAGAGACGAAGATGCCCTTCCCCTGACTTATGTTCTCAAAATATAACAGCGACCTCAGGGCAAAGAAGCAAAGATCATCGAGAGGAGACATCTGGTTAAAACACAGCCAAATAGGATTTTAACACGTGGACAACAGAAAAATCAAACGCCGTCACTTAGAAATTGAATATTTAGTTGTCGTTTGGTTTTGGTGATAGTTAAATAGATTCATTGTCATCAATACATGCATAATAATATACATGTATACAATGCAGTCAAAATCGCGTTTTAAAACATAAAAACTTACGGTTTTACGCTTCTAGGACATCAAAACGCTTTCGTTTCCATATAAAATCTTAAGTGTATAAAATCGGGACTAAAATGCGCTTTAAAGCTTAAAAAAGCTTACGCTTTTACGCTTCTGGTTCACTAAAATGCTTTACGCTTTTATACTTCTAGTTCACTAAGAGTATTCTATTCATGAAAATACTTATATTTTAAGGTAAATCACAAAAAATATGATATATTTGAGATTAAAAGATACATATCAAGTACTTGGGTGCATTGTTAGTTTCAATAGAGTAATCTAATTCACCAGCTATGCCCTTCCCAAATTCACCAGCATAGAGGGGAATGTAGCTTATTGTTAAGATATATGTTTATGAACTTATTGTTAAAATGTTATGAGTTTCCCAACTTTAAACATGAATTACAAGTATTTATTAACTTAACTAAACTATGTCCACTCATATTTTATCGTACTTAACACATTTTTTGTTATATTAAAGTATGCGTCAAAAACTTAAGTTTTTACGCTTTGATTCTACGCTTTACGATTTTACCCATTTTCCGCTTCTAGGTAGAATCGCGTTTTTGACTGCATTGCATGTATATACGAATATTAGTGTATTGTAGTTAAATCGTTTGGTTTTTGTGATAGTAATTATGTTATTCAAATAAGTTATATTACTTTTTGGGTGAAATGTCAATTTTACCCTTTCTTTTTAATATAAAAAAGCAACAAACATAAAAAGGTAGGGACATATTTGGAAGGAAAAAAAACACAACAATCTCAATCAAACAATCTCAACAATCTCACCAAAAACTTGAGATTTAACTAACTCATTTTGAGTGATAGTTTGTGTCAAATCAAGCAAACAATGCTTGTATTGTTTGTGCAGAAAATTCAGAAAAAACGATCATTGTGGACAATGCATGTATTGTAACTATTTCAACCAAACTATCACCAAAACTAAACGACCCCTTAATAATTGCGTTTCAAAACCTGATTACATCCCTACTATTTCAACTTCGGCATTCCCTAGCATAAATTTTTTTAGGGTTATAAGTATAATATGCCCCTCTATTATGGTCCCTTCGAGTACATCCGCTGCCCCTCTAATATGCATATTTACCAAACATTCCCATCTACTATTATTGGCATTTATTATATCTCGAAACTCGAGCAAGATAAGAACTTCAGAACGATGGCAGACCATCCCTGAAACCACATGGATCGAGTCTCTACCTTCTCATCTCCAGAACGTATCGGAGTCAACTCATTGAAGAGCGCTCTTGCACCTCCGAATCATCAAAATATGTTTGGCTAAGCAAAAAACTAGACAGGAGGTAAGAAGAAGAGAAGACAAGTTGATCTTAGAACCAAAACCAGCCTCCTTTTACCAACATGAGTTAAAAGCTCTCTAGATCTTAAGAATCAAATTAGAGCAACAAACAGGAACATCTAAAAAAGAGATGCAACATCTCCATAATCATATTTCTTTGGGACAACTAGATGTGTTGCTATTAAAATTTTTACTACTACATAGTTAATCAATTTTTGAAATTTTCAATTACTTCTACCTCTATCTCAAAATGAGAGACAAAGCAATGTAAATAAGGTACTCATAGATGGAAAAAGCACACATTGGGATTAATATCCTCTTAGTGTCACCTTGAATTTCAAATATAATGAATCTATGGGTCGCTTGGTGATCGCTCTTGCGTTAACCAAGTTAAAACTCGTATCAACTAATGCTACTCCAATCTAAGTCCAGTATAACCTAGATAGGCGATGTAGTAAAGGGTTGACTTACAATGTCGAATTCCACGAGTCCATGGATCTACTACTACTTCAGAACTAGTTTACTATCTAACCTAACCAAGTTTTGGGGTAAAACTAACCTAATCTACTCCTAAACAACCAACCAAGTGGTTGGGAGATCGCTAGAGATGAGGCGGTTGCATAGGGTCAAATCCTCCTAGCTTTGGTTGTTAAGTAGGGTTAAAAGAATGTGCTGAGTAATCTCTTTTTTGTGGGCCTTCGTGATTATCCACATGTCTCCGAGAGTCTGAGGACGCCTCCCCTAAACCCATGTCAGTCACCTCGATCTAGACTATCATATTTGGGGCTTTAAGAACATAGCTCTTTTCCGTGGGTACTACCCACCGTCCACACTAAGGTTTCATCCTGGGTTCCATCTAGGAAGGCATTCTTATGGCAAGGGTGCGGTCACCTCGTCCTCCACAAGATCCTATTCATTCATCTAACCCTAATCTGTTAGATGGCGCATACTCGTCTAACCCTAAAACTCCATACCTAGCGTAGCTCAAGTAGGCTAGTAGAGAAGATTAGGGCAACTTACCAAAGCAAAATTAAAGCTAGAGAAGCATTAAAATCAACTATATAAACACATTCATACAAAACCCATACATATACAACCTATAAACTAGGGTTCATCTTCCCTAAACAACCATTAGTGATTCAAGTCATAGAGAGAGAAAGAAAACGCAAACGAGAAGAGAGGGAGTGATGGAATCAATCTTCTTCTCCTTGATTCCACCTTCTTCTTGCTCCTTAGGTGGATTAGATCTTAAATAAAGCTCTTCTAAGGTGTTTCCTTCTCTAAAAACAACCCAAAACCCTAGCTTTCTCACTCTAGGGCAGCTCACCTATGTCAAATGCAGAAAAAAGGAGTATTTATAGGTTGTTGGTAGTGGTCACGACCTCAAGGGCGTGACCCGATGGTCACGGTCGTGACCTGCCGTGACCAGCAAGAACATCTTCGAATCACCCGAAACGTCCCATTTTTTCCCCGTCATTAAGTCCCAAGATCACGGCCTCTTTCATGAGATCACGATCAAAAAACACCAAGACCGCGACTCGGGTGTCAGAAACTTTCTGCTCTTGACGGCTACCTTCTTGAAGTTCCATGGCACTGTTCACGACCGAGATCTTCAGGCAGCGAATATGGTCACGGCCTAGTGGGTGTGGGTGTGACCTGTGTCTTTTCTCCTCTTCTTGCTCCTACGCTTCCCAATCATGCTCGAATGAACTCCAATCGATTCCCAATCAATCTCAGATGAATATAAGACCTGGAATTTCATAACAAACACTGGGAAAAGCATAAAATATGACAAAGTGGGGTTGGTTCCCCTTTGGAAACCTTCATATCAAGAATACCTATGCCAAAATACATGTCTTGCAAATAGGAACGAAAAATGAGCATAAATAACTTGATATGTGGGCTAGACATAGTGATTTAACATGCAAATGTCTTAAGAACAAGAGCTAAATAATGCATGTTTTAACGCCTGTTTTAGGTGTTGTCACTTGTTTCATGGATTTGAAAAATGAACGTTTTGGTAAATTTGGACTTTGGAAAGCCATGGATTTATTATGGATTTGATGGCATTATGGATTTGAACAAGTCTATTGTTTGCTTGTTTGATTCGATTATGGATTTTGTTTAATTAGATTTCTGGATATGAAACACAAATTACCTTGTTACCATTATCTAATTACTTTTCCAATAGAATCCAAAATTTTCATTAAAAACAAATCTAATGCATACAATGAAATTGAACCTCTACTTTGTGAACTAATTCAATTACAAATATAGGAACTCATAATAGTTTGGACATGTCACAACTCCCCAATTTTGGAATCCAACGGTCAAACAAGCAATAATGCACAAGATGAGTATAAGGTGTTAGAAAGCTCAATAGAGGAGTAAAAAACAGGACTCGGTAGAAGAAGAGGTGATACTCAACCAAAATTGAAAATTTCTGGATTTTTTTGTCAAACTCGAGCACTACTTTGAATCCAAAATTTAATCCCAAAATACACAAGTTATGCAAGAACATGATGTTAAACTAGCTCAAAAAAAGAAAGAGACAAGGAGAAACAAACATGAGAGTCCCTTTATCATTCGACGCTTTTTTGGAAAAAACTAAGGGCGAAGAGTTGGAGGCTGCCACCGGTGAAGAATGAAGGGCATATTGGTCATTAGGTAAAATAAGTAGGATAAACAAGTAAAATGTCGTCATGGATCTTAAGGTCGTTTGATTCGTGGATTTGAAAAATGAAGGGTTTGATATAATTTGAATTTTGAAAAACCATGGATATATGAGGGATTTGGATTCATTATGGATATGAAAAACACTCTTGTTTGTTTCATGGATTTCATTATAGATTTTGTTAATTAAAATTGTATGTATGAAGTACCACCTATGAAGTGCAATTGGACAAAATCCATCATGGACCCAAATCCATTATCAAATCTTTCACCAAATCTATCAAGTAAACAAGCCCGGTCTCAATTCCCACCTCCATAGGTGGTACTTTCATGTATGTGGGATACACTGATTTGGACCTCCAAAGTCCATAAGCCCCACGAATTTACTCTCTCCAATTCCATCAAACAAACAATGGACTTTTGTCAAAGTCCATAAGCACCCAATAACCTTGGAATACTCTAGTTGTAAAACTAGTTGACCAGTATAACCATTAGTTCCAAACTTGGATCCATTGAGGTCGTTAATTCACGACAATTCCTACTATGGAATTTTCTTTACGAGTACCTTCTCACTGCAGAAAAATTGAGAGAAGGAATATTCCTTGTTGTACCACTTGATTCAATAGACAGAATCACATTTACCTCCCCATGTCCTACATGGGGAATTTAAATAACAACTTTTTATCAAAGTTCATTGATCTTTTATTGGTCCAAAAGATAAGCATTTCATATACATACAAATGTATGATGACTCTATTATCAGATTCATCATAAAT